AGCCCTCCTCGCCTCCTGCCGAGCCCTCCCGCGAGCCTTCCCGCTGCTCGCGCCTCCCTCGAGGCCTCCCGCTGCTCGCGCCTTCCGCTCCCTTTCCCTTTCCCGCTGCCGCTCGCCGCTGCCGCCGCTCACCGCTGCTGCTGCCGCTGCCGCCACTGCTACCGCCGCTCGCCGCCGCTGCTGCCGTCGCTCGCCGCTGCTTCCTCGTTTCTCCGTCAGCAGGTTTATACTGTTAATGTGATTATATTTATTAATTATATTATATATTTTTATATTTTTATTTAAAATTTTAAATAATTATATTTATTAATTATATTTTATATTTTAGCGCCTCGCTTCGCTCGGGCGAGCGCCTAGCGCCTCGGGCGTTTTTGGACCTTGGCGCCTTTTGGCGCCTAGCGCTTTTTAAATCACTGCTCGTCAGCTAGTAATTTCATTCAGGTTGTATTTTAAATGTACAGTTAGAAAAAACGGTTTGAGTCAATGTGCAGTTATAGAATGCTTTGTGTGTTTTATAAACAGTAGATGAAAAATTATATTTTAAATATGCAATAACGTAAGTGTTGTTTGATAAAATTATATTTCAAAAGTTCATTAAATATTTTGTGACAAATTTACCTTTCCAATATTTTTAATATTTATTCAAAAGTGAACACATATATTTATTTAAATTAATAAGTAAATAGATAAGATAAATAAATGAATGAATATAATCTTATAAAAAATTTCATACGATCTAAATATGTAATAAATAAAAATATAAAATAAATAAATAAATAAAATTTCACATGATAGAAAACATAAATCATGTTGGCTACTCACTAAATTATTTTAGCAATCTTATAATTTTAAATAAAGTCATAGGGTACTTTCGAAATTAAAAAATTATATTAGCATCTCACAGATGTTGAAATGCTAATGCTACCCTGAGGTAGCATCAGTATTTGAACATTTCCAATACAACCTCCAGGCTAAATAAGATTCGAAAAAAATTTATCGAATATCAATTCATATCTTAAGATGAGAGGAAAAAGACTCGGCCTGCCTAAGGAATTAGATGAGTGGAATTGTTTCATATCTTATTAACTTTCTATCCATCTTTAAAGAGAAATGCATTCTTGATTGATTATCTAGAACTGACCATGGTAAATTGTTAACAATGTTCCATTACAGGTAGCTTTCGACAAAATTGGTTCTATGACTGCAAACACAATCACAAAGGAAAGAAAGAAACAGGAACCAGCAGTGATGGCTGAGCTTGACCAGAGACAGAGACGACTCAACACCCTGAACACAAACGGGTAATAGTCTGGTGCCAGATAAATTCCTCAGACTCAGATGAGGTCGATGCTACGAGGGAGATGGAACAAGGTTTCATCCCAATGGGTGACGACCAGAAAACTAAACCTGCTAAGCGAAATTGTCTTAGACATTGTGAATTGGCATTTGGTTAATCACCTGCCTGATATTCTTTTTCTTTTCTCTGTATTCGTGTAAAATATTTGCTCTTTTGTGAAACAAAGAAAATTCACAGGTCCGATATCTTGGAACTTAAATCGATGTTTTCTATAAGGTTTCATAGGGCTGGTAATTCCCAGCATCAAGCTGTTGAAATTCCAACTTGTGAGCTAGCAGTGATTATTAGTGCCATGACTCTGTTTTATCATTGGAATATATAATTTAGCTTCTTGTGGTCAATGGACTCCAATGCAATATGGTTTGAGATCTTATGGATCAACCAACATACGAGTGGAAAGATATCTCAAGTGATCGATGGCCTAAAAGATGCCGCAATCGATTCCTTGAAGCACTCAAACCATGATCAGAAGAAGCACGGAGAGAAAGGATGAATCTGTAGCAAAATTAAGGCAAAGCAAGTCCAAAGAAAAGATGTTGCAGTAACCATCAACGAAGCTTTAGCATATGCAACATGGTGAAGGCATGATCTCCATCGAGTCCACGGAACAGGGATGACCTATCTCGAGTGTTGTATACCATGCCTGCTACAGGAAGAAGTGGCAACTCATGCAACGTGTTCTACCACACCATGCCATATAAAGCAAGCATACGGCATGCTCTCACGTACGACGAGCTCCACGACGTCCGGCCTCCACACCGCATCGGCTCCGTCGCCGGCGCAGCACGCGAAGCACTGCATTGAGGAGAGCATCGCCGAGAGCGCGTCCAACATGCGGCGGGCCACACCCATCTCCACCTCGTCGCCCCTCGCCTCGAGGGAGGTCTCGCTGTTCCCATGTCACCACCAAGCACTGCATTGTGGCGGTGAGGAGGCGGCTGCTGAACCAAACTCTTCACCACTGCCTATCTCACACTGAGAAAATCCATATCGTTAGTACTTAAAATCCATCTTTACAAAGTAATTTAGGATACCAATAAATATATTTTAGTCAAAAAATAAAGGCTTAATTATTTAGAGACTATTGAATCCTACATATCCATATCATCTATTTTCTCTTGATATTAATTTTCTGCATTTGTACAACCATCTTTTTAACATAACTTAAATATTTGAACCATACTATTTTGGGAGTAGCTTTTTTTCCCAAATATTTCTTTTGGTATTCTGCATTCATTCCAAATTCACAATATAAACCTTTCTTTTAGTTTATCATCTCATAACTATGAATTAGAATTATCCAATAATAATAAAGCCCATAATATTCCAACTAATTGTCATCACCGAATATTATAAAATACGAAATCCTTAATTAAATTATTAAGAGTATTTAAATATTTATAATTTATAATAATTCTTTTCAGATCTTCCTTTAACTGTTCCCATAATAATAATTATAAATTATTATAATAATTTATACTAATTGTCCCTTCTTTCTTTTTTGTTTTTGTCTTAAGACTATAGGATCAATCAAAATACCTTTCACAAACTTTACAGTAAGGATGGGTTCTTTGCATAAATTCTTGAAGCATTTCTCTATTGCCAGTATCAACATATTGCTAGATCAACATGTAAACAAGGCAGTAGTATGTCCTGAGGATAACAGTGGTGATTGGATAGGGTTGTCAACAGTTTGAATCCAGCTTACCTGCACTCCCACTCTGCATCAAAGTGGCAACTACATTCCATGTGTAGTAGGGTTTTGTGGCTCCCTGATAGTAAGCATGAGCAATGGCTGACAAAAGTTAGATGCACTGTGAACATGGTTAGCTCTCAGTGCAGAAACTTGATAGAATTCATATCCATTTTGCATCAGTAATAGAATAGATCAAACATGGAAGCTCACCACCTACCAGTGGTTGGTAGTACAGATGTGTTTGATGTCTGTTTTGATCATAGCTTGAAATCAACTCATTTTGGGGAGTCACAAACCTAGATTGGCTTCCATATATTTTCTCATAACCTACATCACCCATTTTTCTTAAGATGATAATCTTTTACCCAAACAAACACTTCACTCAAGAGAGAGAGAGAGAGAGAGAGAGAGAGAGAATGCTGAAGACATGACTTAGTACTACAACTAATCACCTGATCTTTCACTAGGTTGCTCCAGGAAATAGGTTGAAGAGATGGGAAGAGGAGGTAATTAACAAAGGAAATATGTTCCATTATCAACCTCATATGTCGGAAAATACCGCAACTACAAACTTGATACTCACAAATGGAAGAAAACTCAGGGAATAAGGTTGTTCATTTCTGAATCAGGCAATTTCTTTTACATACCTATGAATCATATATGAACCAATAAAAAATGTGTAAGTTCCAGTGTCATTGACAAACTCCCAAATCCAATAAACAACACAGAAAAGGTATAATGAACATTGCTAATACCATCATATGTGAATCCATAAGACAGAGAGCACTATGATCCTTATTTCGAGTTAATCTCATGATACAACTACTCTTGTATCCAGTCTCTAAGGATCCTCATAGCACACTCATCCACAGCCAGAATTGAGTGGTTGCAGAGTGAATAGCCAACAGGTCTGCAACCTTCTAATTTCAAAACTACCTGTAACAACTACACATCTGATTCACAAGCTATCATGCATATATTGCATCCCATGTTTCATTTTATCTCATTGATGAACCATGATGTTACTCAGATGGTTCATTCAATACAGAAAACCTCTTTTAACAAAGGAGGCTTGATTCTTCAGTTAGGTCACAACCATTCTTGTTTGCTCTTGAAAACTATAGCTACTGGGATCAGATTTCTGAAGGAGGTGACCTTTAGAAAGGAACATGTTTCTCCAAACACCTTTTAGATTGATAGGCATATTTAACAAGGAAATATGCAGGTGCCTCAAGAATTTAGAAGCTTTCCCAAGCATTGACTACTTGATCCTACAGAAATCTAACCTCCTAGAGAACGATAAAAAAACACAGTATTTGGCGCCATCTTCTGCAATCGACATTAAGCAAACAATATAAAACATCAAGGAACATGTCTCTTCATGAAAACTGAAAGATTTAGAGCAGGTTCATAGGCCGGGCACAACATTTGAAGACCTATTGCTGTCGCTGTAACTGAAAAAGTATAATAGTCCATTTCACTGAGTTCTCAATTAAGACAAAAGCTTGCACTGAAAAGAAAAGAGATCAGTTACAACAAATCTCATCACAAGTTCACTAATTTGCATCTCATCTGATGCACAAACATATGTTAATTCTCAAACTCAGAATGACTGATAGCAAGTGTCTCCTTTCTAACTTCTGATCCATGATAAATCACGTCTGGATATCAACTCAACATAGTGAACATCATAGTTGGCAGAAAACATAGGTGCTAAATTACAATGCAAAGTTCATTACAAAACAACAAAAACAACAATTTACTATGATGTTTGGTCAAAATCAGTTCTCATCAAGAAGCAATAGACAGAGAAGAAGTAGAGCATAGAGCACAAGTTGTATTCAGTGAATCCCATATGATAAGTCAAAAGCAAAAGCTCAGATTAGTGTCAGGCCATCTGAGGTTCTCCTTTCAGTTACATTTTTATAGTAGACATAAGACAATAACATGCAACAAATGATTATTAGCTATACAAATTGTTTCACCTCTGGACCAAAATGCTGACTCTGCCAGTTGTCTAGCATGAGAAAAGATAATCCACAATTTCCAAATACAAAAATATATAATTCAGAGTTTAGGTGATCTCTCTATGTGATTTTTTCTACAGATCAAGAGATAAAGTTCATGAATAAGAAAAAGGGTTTGCAGTGTCAATACAACAGCCGAAGGAAATAAGATCTACCGATGGTACCTAAACACAAGAAAGTAAAAGAAGACTATTAACAACCTACAAATGCAAATGCTTACTGAACAGGATAGTATCTTACGTTGCTGTAGCTAGTTCCCTTGGATGTCTTGCTCCCTGTCCATGGATCTCAGGATATCCAGCTCCAGCTCCTTCTGCCTCACTTGCAATGCCATGCGTTCATTTTCCAATTTCAATCTCTCATTCTCCAGCATCAGCCTCTCGAGCTCCCTATCCTTCTTGCCACGGAATCTCTGCCACTTGAAGTGTCGCTTCTCCAGTTCCAGTGCTTCAGCCTCAATCTCCACCCTTTCCTCTTCAAGCTGCAATGCACGTCCTTTAAACCACTGCCTCTGTTCCCATGGTGACTTTGTTGTGTCATGAAGCACCACATCCATCTCGGCCCTGAAGCTCTCTAAACCCTTGTTGCCCATTTCATCGCTCCTGTCATCATGATCCCCATCATCACCATCCTTTTCATCATCTTCATCTTCATCGTTTGCATGACCATCACCATCCTTGGAAGTAGCGACTTTTGGGACATCACAGACCTGCAAATCGATATCATGGCAATTCGGTATCCTCTGCCCATTGTGATATGCGCACATTTCCCGGTAAAAGAGGTGTTTGGAGCTTAAGATCTTCCTCACGTCTTCCTTAGCCTTCGGAGAGATATGAGACATTGAATCCAAAAGGTGAGGATTCTCGACCACCTGACAGGATGTCCCTCGTCCAAGGATCTCGTTGAGCCGCTTGTATCGCTTGTTGAGGTCATTGAACTTGTCCTCGCACTGCTGGGGCGAAACATAGCAGCCCTTCTCCAGCATTAACTTCGACACCGTCTTCCACTTTCCTTTCTTCTGGAGGGAGGCCCCGTGCCTCCTCCGAGCCGCTGCTGATCCGTTGAGGATCTCCAGACTACCGTCGTCGTGATCACCGACGAACGCCACCACTGAAATCAGCAGCCGCACCACTTCGTCAGTCCACTTCATGCGGTGCCAAGGCGAAGCCTTTTTGCTGCCGCCAGCCTCGGAAGCAGGCAGGGAGTCGGGATCGTGGCCGTCCTCCTCGCCTGCGACGGCAGGGAAGTGGTCCTCGTCGTCGCTTGTGGCGGCGCCCACGGAGGAGGGGACAAAGAGTGAGGCCATCTGGCGGTCCGAGTCGAGGCCTCCTCCGAAGACCGGATGGATGTGGGAGTGGGCGTGGGCGTGGGTGGGAGCGTGGTGGTGGCACTGACCGACGGAGGGGTCAAGGTCAAGGATCCCGGTGGCCGAACCAGGGAGCAAGCCGCCGCCCATCATCGGATTATTCATGTCCTCTCTCTCTCTCTCTCTCTCTCTCTCTCTCTCTCTCTCTCTCTCTCTCTTCTCTCTCTCAGTGTGGGGCAACAAACATCGGCGGAAATCCTAAAGCATCAGGAACGAAATCCCTGCAAGAAATCCCTAGATTCGAATGATTCCGTGAAAAAGCAACAAAATAATTAGGGGAAATGTATCGTATATGTCCTAAACGCGAGGATCTGCACCAGGAAATCGGGAACTTGAGACATGCGTAAGGAGAGGGAGGGATTTAGGGAAGAAACTGGACCTCGGAGGCCGGTCGGAGAAAAACCGGCGACTTTCGAGAAGTAGAGAGAAGCTTTCTTCTAATTACTTTTATCATTCAATAAAATTACAATATAGCCCTTCCATAGCAGAGTTCTGTACATCACTGTACGATGTTGCTCGTCTTGTGGGTAATTACGTGATTTTCAAACTTCTTATAGGATATATATGTAAAAGAGACGAAAAGAAAAAGAAAAGTATGTTTCATGGCTCCGAGCCGGACCGGTTGGCCCAACATTTTCCGGTTCAATAGAACCGTACGAAGGGCTACAGCCGGGTCTTTGTGGCCTCGAACCGGGGAAACAAGAGAAGCCGGCCGGCCATGGCGGAAACCCAAGGTTTTGGGTCTCGGCTCCGCTCGCCCTTCCCTCTCTCCTCGTCTCACTTATGGCTGGAAACGCAGACATTCAATTCGTATCCTCCTCCATCAGGATTCCTCTTCGCTCGCTAGGGCAGAACATCGGGCCTACGCGGGAGGGACGAGGAGGAGCGGGTTTCATCAGCGAGTTGCCGGGAGAGACGCTGGAACAGGCCGATCTGAGGACCGCGCTACCGGAGCGCTGAAGTTCTCCGGCCGAATTCGGTGCTCACAGTGTGGGAGGTGCAGGAGGACGTTCTCAGGATTATCCATACCGGCTGTTCTCTTTGTGCGTCGCCTGTTGCCTTTGACATTAGGGATGGTATCCGATTGGTCTTTCAGGTAAAGATCCGAACTTGATTTCTAATTATTGTTATTTTGGGTTCCGAAATAAAGAAAAAGAGAGCATCGATGAATACAAAGAAACTCATATTGTGCATTGTTGCATGGTTCCTTTTGTACGTGCTATGATGTGTAAGTGACAAATCTTAGTAGCTGCGTAATTACGGTTTATATTTTGTCTAGAATACTCACTTAGAATGTGTTATATGGCTAAGCACAGAGGCTAAAGGGATTTCAGTACATTGGTATGCTTCAAACAATTAGTTCTCTGTTCTTGTAGCTGCTGTGGTGTTATTTTTTGGCTCAGGAATCCTATATTTTTGAACCAAACTTTACCTCTTTGATTTTCCAATCATAATCTGGAAAATGTACCAAAAATCACCGTCACGGTTAAGTTCTTGATTGTCTATATATCTGTGCGATGCTCATCAAATCTGCTGCCAACTTTTTGCAACTTGTTGCACATAATGTAGATTATCATATAGAATTTCATTTTTTATTTGCAATAAAATTTCAGTGGCAACGGTTATGATGAAATGCAATTTACGAAGTTGGAAAGTGTCTATACAAATTCTGTGATCAGATCTCCTCAATGTCTTTTATCTTAGCTTTTAAATTTATTTCTGTTAAATGCTACTTTTCCCTTTTTCTTATTTAACCTTTTATCATCGTTGTACTGGCAGTTTGTGCTCAATGTGGAACAAGAGCTTCCTTGCCTTCCTGAGTGGTTGTGTTTCAACAAGGTTAGTGCTCATGCTAGACAAGGCTATGAACTTGGGTCTGCATGTCTTATGGTTAGGTATCACTTCTTTGTTGTTCTGTTGGCATGAAAAATGTAATTGATATGAGATGAATATGAGCTTTCTTTGCATTGTGACTGTGGAGAGCCAAAATATTTCATTTTGGCGGGTACTAGTTTGGACAAGGGTTTGTCTTCTCTTCTACTTATGTGAGTTGTAGCATTTTAACTTGCTTTGCAATTATTTTTGGGTTACAACTTGAATTTTTCATTTACTTGAGCAAACCTTTTATGCAGTTTCTTCACAAGGAAGATAATCTTGTCTTGTATCTTTAATCTTTATAGTAACACTAATGAAATACACTCTAAGCTTCATTTTTTATATGGCTACTTTATTAATGCAATTGGGAATTGCCTTCAATTGTCAGTACTTAAGATGGACTGTCTGTAGATCATTTTTATGAACTTCTATCGATATATTTTTTCAAACATCTTCTTTTCAAAACCTTTTACATTTATCCTTGAATCAGAAAGAATAAACAACAGGATTATGAAATATTTGGCAACTCAAAGACATAATTATAAAAACATCTAGTTTTGCATTTTTTTTATAAAGATCTAATTCTTTCTGGACTAATCTGCTCTTGTGAATCATAGTGTTTCAGAGCCCGTGTGTTTGGTAACTTTTCATCTCATGAAGCATTTGCTATTGGTGGGTCAAACAGTGTCACAGGTTATGAAGAAGGTGCATAAGTTGTGGTTGTTCATGTGCAGTTGGATGCTGAGAAATCTCCTTTGGAATGGTGAGTTTTGAGTTTTAATCATTCTATAATGTTCTTGCAGACTTGCACCATAGTTGTGAGTTTCCAACTGAATTAGAATAATGGGGAAGTATAAATGGGTTAGAATTAAACCTGCTTAAATCATTTATACCTAAATCTTATTCAAAAGACTAGTTATTTCTTTTTGACAAAATTCTGAAATAACTAGGTCCGATTTTGTCTTTAGGACTTGTGTCTGCTCTGTTACAAGCAGTTCATGTATAACATGTTACTCTTCTAAGATATTTATCATTCATATTTTTTTTCCCAATTCCATGTAAACCTAAATACTTAATGTTTACAGCTTCTGTTACACTTTTGAATTAAATGAATAATCTTGATGGGCTATCTTTGGATTTTGAACTACCGAAGCCTTTTTCGCTTGTGCCTGCTTAGAATTGTGACACCAACTTTGCTGCTTGCATTGCTTTTGAATTAGGTAGACATAGAATGATCTAAGTCTGCCCAAGTCATCTAGCTGCTTGCCTGGAATCCACGATGTAGTCAACTTAATCTGCAGCAAAAAATTAGGGAGCATGCATTTTGACCTCATCTAAAAACATTTTCCATATGTTTGTAAGAAATTAGTACTTTATATCTTAGAATTTCATTTTAATTTAACCTTTTTCCTAAAATGAAAAGAGGCCTTTTCAGTGATGTTTATGTTACCCCAAGACAAATCTAAACCAAAGCATCATGTGTAGGTTCTTGTGTTAAAATTTGACATTCTTATCATATCTTCCTTTGTAGCATGGACCACTAATACGTGCTTTTTCACATTTCAAGCATATACATTCAGTAATGCATCATAAGCAAAGTATATTCGGAGGCAAATTCAAGCAAGGGCCAAAACCTGCTCATTATTATTTTTTTACTGGAGGAAAATAGGAGTCGGTTAAGTTCCAAATGATGGAACATGTCACATGTTAAATAGATAAAGATATTTTCATTAAGTGTGCATAAGTAAAATGACAAAATTAATACAGGTGTCTTACTTTCCTGCCCTTCACAGGTGATCCAGCTGAAGGGCGAAACCAGGCAATGGATCGGGTTATGGGATTGGTATTCATGTGGACTTCTCGTTGGGGCCTATCTTCCTGGAGTATGCATTTGACGTTAAAAATACGAGGAGGTTTCACTTTAAGAGTTGGATATCACCAGTAGCTGTTCTTGCATGTTTGCTTCAAAAGAATCTGTCACATTGCATAGGTCTGTCACTTTTAGTGTGTCTGTGGTTGTCCTTGCTTAATGGTATCTTGCTTTCCAAACAGCACAGCAACTTGCTACATGGCTTTCTGGCATATGTGGCTGCAAGTTTAGAGAATCTAGGGTATGGAAAAGCCATCAAACTTATAGACCTTATGACACAACGTGGGCATGAACTGTTTGGTCTCGAGTTGAAAGAGAAGTTTGACATACAGAGGAAACGGCGAGCAGAGTCTTTCTTGGCTTGGAATTTTGACCAATTAAAGCCTATGATATAGGATATCATAGTTTTCTCCAAAAAATTTCCTTTTTGATAACCTGACTTTTCAAGTGCTTGAAATTACACTCAGGAATACTGTGTAATTGTGAATATGTTATATTGTAGCATATACTGATCCTTTTTTAGTACCATTTCAAGTCTCATAATAAACATCAGCTTGCTTGTGATTTCTTGGAACTCCTGATCTTTATCCTTGAAGACTACATGAATATTACTCTTGATCCTTTTGGGCTGCAAAAGTTGAATGCAGAGATTACTCAAGCTGCAGAAACTGCTTCAGATGACGATGATGAGTCAAGGAAAGGTGTTCTGGCACTGTTGGCCACTTTGGTTTGTGTTCAGGTATGGGAATCCATCATCGTTTTATTGTCTATTATGTATGATACCATGGCCACAAAAATCTGTTGCCAACACTTGCAACGCATGTATGCTATGACTCAGTGTTTCCTGTGCTCTTATCAGGTTTTGGACCCTCCACTATAACCCATGGCAGGACTTTGAATGAGCTTTGCTAGTGCCAAAAGGAAAAGGAAAGAAAATTAAGAGAGAAGTGGGGGCACTCAAGCCAAATCCTTTGTGAAAGGGAAAGCCCGATGAATGAGCCGTTTACTAGCAAAGAAAGAAGAGGAGGAGGGTCTTTAGACATTGTACCATTCATGCCTCTGTTCAAATAAACCTTTGAGTTCTTTTCACTTTATGTTGCATGAAAAGTTACATGTAGTTCATGTGGCTATCCAATTCCACCACCAAAAGGAAAAGAGAAAGCAAAAGCTCGACATCTTTAGTCTCAAGTTAAAAGTGTATGTATGGATATTTAGGTTGATTTTTGTAGTTAATTGAGTTTGTTTCTATCAACTTCGGCTTAACATTTGAAGTCGACGATTTAAACTTATTTAGTTAATAGGTCAATTGTTTGAATTTTTTTTCTGTTTTTTGTTTTCAGCCAAAGAAGTGTAAACATTTTATTGCTGTATAAAAAAAAATGATTATATTTTGAATTGTTCAGTTGCTTGTTGTTGGACAAGAATCCTTTGCTCAAAATGTTGATGTACCAACTTCAATGGGGGACCCTCATCCCCATCAAAATGCCAGGTCTCATCTGTCCTTGATCAAATTGATGTGTGCAATCAAGCGCAAGCAGGACTAAAGAGTAAAGCTAAAGCCAAATGTATGCCAAAATCTACCATTTATTTTTGATATCTCATCTTGTTTTCCATTTTTTACATTCCCCTTCTGTTCTTTGTTTTCTTGATCTGGTGATTATTCTTCCTATTATTTCTACTATTATTATTATCATGAGTATTTGTTCTCCAATAGTCTCTGAGTATGAGTCTGCTCCTGCTCTCAGGTAAATCTTAAAACCATCACTCCTATCAGTCACATTTTTATGTGAATAACAATAGTTTTCACATTAAACAAAAACAATTGTATTCATGATTTCATATGAGATTGACATGAGTCATGGTCGTCGTCATCATCATCATCATCTCTCTCTCTCTCTCTCTCTCTCTCTCTCTCTCTCGTACATCCACGCATGTGTCTATAATAGGTGTGTTTCCAATCCACAGTTCACACCCTCTCCAAGCAAGCATCCTTCAACCATGGCAGATCCCTACGCCAATTCTCTCCAAGGATTCTTCAATTGCCATCCCTTCACCTCCCACCCCTCCTTCTCTGCCCTCCCTCTTCCCCGGCACAACATCCTCACCAACTTCACAAACTACGCCACCTCTCACCTCCCATCACCACTGCCACCACCCCCACCCGCGTCCCCTCCCCTGAGGGAAGCCCTTCCCCTCCTCAACCTCGCCCCCACACCGCACCACCACCAGGAGGAGGAGGAAGCCTCCTGTAGCTTCTTGGAGGAGGATGCTGAAACTGCTACTGATGAGAAGAAGAAAGTCTCGCAGGACGACGGAGAGAACGAGGAGGATGCTGTGACAGTGGCCCTCCATATCGGCCTTCCAAGTCCCAGTGCAGCTGATCTCAGCTCCATGGTCTTCTCCGCTTCAGTAGATGAAGAGAAAGGTCGTGAAGAAGATAGAGATCATGACCTCGGTGACGATGTTCCTTTAGGTTATCCTGCGATAGGGAGGCTGAGGAGGGGACAGTACTGGATTCCCACTCCTTCTCAGATCCTCATAGGCCCTACCCAGTTCCCTTGCCCCGTTTGCAGCAAGACCTTCAACAGATACAACAACATGCAGGTCGGCTATACCATAACCTCTTCTTTGTTTGTTGATCTAATTGGAGTTGGAAGGCGCCTCCCTCTTCGTTCTTGCTTGCTTTCTTGCTCGCTTTCTCAGTTTTGCTGGGGTAATAGTTCTTACATCAAGCCGTATGTGTGCCTGATCCGAAACATTGAGCACCTTTTCTCCTTTTCATGTGATGGAACTACACAGACGAGGAAATGCTCTCATACGCTTCGTATGTAGCACTTTTGGAGTCTGTTTGGTTGTCGTTTGGCTGCTGTGAAGGGATCCTGAAAAGGTCTCAGTGCTTCAGGGGTTATTCAGATGGGAGTTCCATCTTCAGCATCTCCTGAATCCAATATCCACCCACTGACCTTGAAACACAAGCTTCGAGAGCTTCAATTAATGCATGCATGCATGCATCATCATCATCATGATCTCTCTCTCTCTCTCTCTCTCTCTCTCTCTCTCTCTCTCTCTCTCTCTCTCGGGGTGTCCACCCACTTGATCGCAGCTTCTTCTTGTTTGGCCGCTGAACTCTCTTGCTTTCTTTTGTGCATGGCCACCACGAAAGATGCACATGTGGGGGCATGGATCGCAGTACAGGAAAGGGCCAGAGTCGCTGCGAGGCATCCAACCGACGGCGATGCTGCGGCTGCCGTGCTACTGCTGCGCTCCGGGTTGCAGGAACAACATAGACCACCCGAGATCGAAGCCACTGAAGGACTTCAGAACCCTGCAAACTCACTACAAGAGGAAGCACGGCATCAAGCCCTTCATGTGCCGGAAGTGCGGCAAGGCCTTCGCCGTCCGAGGCGACTGGCGAACCCATGAGAAGAACTGCGGCAAGCTGTGGTACTGCACTTGCGGCTCCGACTTCAAGCACAAGCGGTCACTCAAGGACCACATCAAAGCATTCGGGAGCGGGCACTCCGCCTACGGGATCGACTGCCTCGAAGAGGACGACGAGCTGTCGTCTGAGATCGAGCAAGACTCCAACCATCGTCATCAGCTACCGTGAACCGGAGTTGCAGTCTACGTAGATATCCCTTGCTTGATCATGAACATGTAAGAGCTTCTGTAGTCTCCAATCAGCTCCCTTCCTCTTTGCTCTTCCTTGTGAGTGTTAAGACCATGCAAGACACTAAATACAAGATCATGTGTCTTGTAAATCTTGCTAGGCGAAACCCTGGCAATTTGCTCTAACCTTCAGTGCTCGACTTCTCTATGTCCGGTATCATCATGAAATCAACTGGTTGGATAATGTTTAGACTAAGAGTGGATCAATATCTGCTTCTTGATTGTTCTTCTCTTACCTATACTCAATTTCTCAGCTTGATCTTGTAACCAAGCAACTCACTCGTTCTTAAATTGTTATTATTAATGATGAAATCCCATCCATCTCTTCTCCTAAAAAGTAACAAGCAATTCCGGTCATGATTTCTTAGGCAAAGAAATCACCATCCTTTCTGGCTACTCTCCACATTCTTTGCCTATGATCAGATGAAGAGGTGTGTGGTGTGCGCAGAAGAAAACTCATGGCTATAGCTTCTAAGGCAGCAGAAGAAGTATTTATTGTCCTATGCATTCAGAGGCTGTACCTGATGTGTTGCAGACACATTCCTCCTGTTAATTCTCCTTCTCTATTTGCCAGTCATGCTCTCTGCTGCAAGTGTAACCAAGTCGCAGTCTCGAAAGCAGAATCCTCAGGTGGAAAAGCTTTCCAAAATCCTGCAATCACTTTGCATTTTTTTTCCTTGGCTCAATGAACAATGCAATAAGATAGTTGAGGGTTATTGAATGAGTGAGATGGAATGGAATCCGTAGAATGAATGCACAAGATGGAATGTTGGATTCTGACCTCAAGCACAGAGAAAGAGAAAACAGTCAACAAAAGACATCTTGCCGTATGTCATGTCAACCTCAGTCTGTTCATCCCTCTGAGTATGAACTATTAGAGTAGTTTAATGTCTGTTCATGAGAGCCCACCTAAGTGACTTAATCTAAGCTTGATCAGTCTATGCTATGATGATTGGTCATGTATTTATTTGTTCCCATATATCAGAAAATTAGTGAATGATGTAAGATTAAATGGTACTAAGTTAAACTAAAAGGTGATGTATAATCAATATAAAATATATGTAGCTAATCTTACAATAGTTTATACATTTTTTAATACTTTACAAACTCAATTAAATGCATTAATATCATTATCATCATCAAATCATGACATTATATGTGGGCTTCTCTACAGATACAACTCACAACAATATTTGAGCAAGTCAGTTGATGGAGAAAATGGTCTCTCTCTTCCTTCTGGCATTTTAAGTTTATCAAATCAGATTGGAATCCTCAAAAAGGTTTACAAGAATGAAAGCTAAAAACTCTTGATCTGAGTTTAGGATTCATTAAAACAAGAACAAGGCCTTTTCCAATTAGAAACCATGTTTAGTACTTTGGTATTTTGTTGTTGGATTGTGTAACAAGGCGAAAAGAAAATACAATTTTGTTTAAGAATATTCATGTATAACAACATAAACTATGGATTAGTACTATGCATACATTGCTAAGAGATTGAGAATTATATAAATCACATTAGTTTATGAAGTTTTCTTTTTCTTATGTCATGAAATATTACAAGAGATTCCTCCTTTATCATACATGAAGAAAGTGGACAAGAATTGACACCTCTCAAAGGATCTGACCATATGCTTGCCCTGTGGATGACCCATTGTTCTTCAAGCACATGCAGCCAGCCAAATGATGAAGCGAGACAGGCACAAGAACTGTTGACAAGATGGAACAGAGAGGAGGAAGGGAAGAAATGCAAGATGATTGCCTGCGTTGGGACGCCTCATCTCACTGTCTCCTTCCCTTGTCTTCTTGACACCCCAAGGCCCCTCCAAACCCCACACTCTTCATATCTTTGTGTCATTTTCAGGACCTTGCAAGGGAGGATGAGTGTTGGTGTAACTTTGTCCAGTACATCACTCATGAATCCTTCGCGTGTATATATATATATATACACACACTTATATGCATTTGTGATTCTTCCCCATCTCTGCACATTCCACCATATGGGGACAGCACTGTCTCCTTAAAGAAGAAGGTGTTGCAGTTCTTTCAGATGTCCAAACAAAAAATTCCTAGTGTTCTTGGCACTTGCACCAGTTTTCCTTTTCCCACACTAGTCTTATGGTTCATTCTTTGGATTCTTAGAATACTCACTGACATGGTAGTTTGATCTTTATGTTTTCAATTGATGGACTTGTCTTCCTTTGCTAAATTACCTTTAGAACTCTTTCTTCTCCTGCTTTTTCTCATTCTTCTTTTCTTATCAGACTGGGAATGGCAAGAACTTTCAGCAGCAATTATTGGAACAACATGGTAGCTGATTGTACAGCACCATCACCGGTGAATATGACATTACATGCGCTTTGGACAGCTAAAACTATGTGCAGTGTGGATCCACTTTCACCAATAGTTCAGAAGAGAATAAATTGTTTTGATCGGATAGAACAATCAGCAAGATAGATATAGATTTGGAAGGATATGATGGCATGAGTCATACTCAAACCGATGAGATTAAACATCAACTTAAACCATTTAAATTGAACAGCTAAAAGTTAGACAAAACAAAATATATATTATCCACACTTCCAATTCTTAGCAATATGAGACCATTCCTTTGTTCTTCTTCATTATAATGATTGAAATGTATCTTGCAGTGATCATACAGTCAGCGGAAAACACATTCCAGGGAACTTTTCCAGGATCACAGCCAATAACTCGATTGAATTAAATCATAAAAGGATATTAATTGGATTTATATAGTCGCAGTAAAGTGGTCTGAGTCTTACTTTTTCCATTGAAAATGAATTCAGATTCTGAAGATATAGATTATAGACTAATATCACTAGAGAACAAAAGGAAAGCCAATCACCATAATAAGGAATGCAGATCTAAAATACAACGAATATTCTGTACTATGACACAAACAATTTTGACGCATATCAACAATCTCTTTTTTCCCTTGATATGTAGATATCAATTTATAAGATTTTCCCTATCCATGCAAAGGACAAAAGATACACAGAATGCTGACAGAACCTTCCAAATATTTCGTTTGCCTACTAGTATTCATGCATCAGTTGGCTTTCAACTTGCTTGACTTCTGATTTGAACCATCTGTATCTGTTGATGATTGTTTACATTTCTCACAGACCATATACAAGCATCAAAAAAAGATCTTGAAGCACAATTCAAACATATATATATATATATATATATATATATATATATATATATATATA